GTGTCTTGGAGTCGCGTTCAAAGATTGTGTCGTTTGATGGTCCTGCCATGCACGGGCACCCTGCGCAGACCCCCAGGCTCCCCATCACCCATGTGGCAGGGGGGCACCAACATCCCCAGAGCTGGGGGGGAACCCAGCCATGTTCCTTCATCCACAAGGTCCTCACCTGCTCCTTTCTCTTCCTCCTCTTACAGATGCCACAGCCGCAACCTTTGTTTCTACTCCAGTTCTGACTTCTCCAGGTGTGTGTGATTTTTTCATACTTCTTGTGTGTGATTTTGGAGGTGTATGATTTACTGCTTTAGGGGTAGAGCTGTGTGGCTTGCACGTTTTAATACTTTTTAAAAGTATCTGTATTTATACTATTTGATTAAATCCTACATGTTCGTCTCCTGTGTCTGTTTGATTCTGTTGAGAGGAGTGGATTTCTTGCTTTGTTTTTTTTGTTAAATATCTTCTTTCTTCTCTACATGTTATGTTTTTTGTGCCGGAACCTTTTGCTTTTTCACATATGCATTTATGCCTTAAGTCTACCAAATACGAAATGGCAAGGGAGATTCTGAGTTCTCTGAAGAGGTCATCATACTTGATAATAAGAAGAACACAACCATTCAGCGTCTCTGAGGATTTATCCTTTTTTTGCTATGGCTTGGGTACCTAATACGTACTTTAATTTGATCAGAAGTAAATCTAAATTGGACACATCTATATCTTATTTTCTTTCCTTTTTTTTTTTTTTCAGCTAGAAAATATATTTGTGGTGGCTTGCTTTTAAATTCCTCTGGAACACTTCAGAGTCCTTCTTATCCTTTGCATTATCCAGATAATGCAGATTGTTCATGGCAAATGCAAGTAACGAATAATTTCCGAATTATGCTCACATTTGGAAGCATTCAGTAAGTAAATCACTTGCTGCTTGGGCAATAAATGGGTCCCAAATCTCAGCTACCAGCACAGTTCCCAAGCACATTTCCAATGCTTATAAGAGTATTATAAATATTACACAGGAATTGTGTGGGTGCAGTATCTTAGTTTATTGTTTGTTCAGTACTTTAAAACCAAAGTTTACCAAATGCATTTTGCTGTATATTCATGTTTATTCCCTAGGTTGCAAGGTGGATGCCAGAATGACTATATTGAGATCTATGATGGACCGCCCAATACTTCTCCTCTGCTTGGAAGAATTTGTTCCGGTTCTGATCTCACGTACACATCATCCTCAAACTTTATGACTGTCAAATTTCACAGTGATTCCAGATATTCCAATAGAGGGTTTTATGCTACATATCAGTCCTTTCCAGCAGACCATAACACCAGTAAGTTTCCATTCTGTTTGTAATGTTTTCTTTGCTTAGAAGCTTTTATACCCTGATTTTATTTGTTAAATAAGTATTTGTTAATGCTGTTGAAAAACTTGTACGTAGATGACATTCCTAATTGAATTTCATACTGGTTATTGACCAATCACTTTCAGACAATAATTATTGTTTTCATTAAAAAAATCTTTCAAGTATCACATTAATTGCCTTTAGACATTTTCTAAGATGACCAGTCTAATTTATTCTTCTTATCACCTCATTATTCATATATTTTTTCTACTTTTGTGGACAGATTTTCATAGAATCATAGTAATATTGGTTAGAAAAGACCTTTGGAGGCTTCCTAGTCCATCTATTCAAAGCACAGCTATTGCCAAGACCAGATCAAATCCACCATGAATTTGTCTAGCTGAGTCTCTAGAAAACGTTCCAAGGATGAAATCTTCAAAGCCACAATTTCTATTGGTGACCTGTTCCGGTATTGTCCTGCAGTCCCAGTGAGAAAATTTATCTAATGTGCACTCACAACCTTGCCAGGCACAAACAATGGCCATCACATTTGTCTCTGTTGTCTTTGTAACTGCCTTTCAAGAGGCTGTGTGTTACCAGTAGGTCCCTATCATCAGATATCTCTCTCTACCAAAGGCCAAACACTCCCTGGGATCATTGCTTTTCATATCATGGACTCAGTGAACCCTCATGAAGATGGTTTCAGGATCCCCTCCCACCCAAGTACTGTTTCTGCAAGCCAGTGTACATGTTTAGCTCTACACCTTCCCTAAGAGCTTTTGGATTCTTATTCAGCAGAAACTAACATTTCTTAGCATTTTTATGTGAGTGGTGACACAAGCTCAAGGTCTCAGCAAAAGCCTATTGTAGGCCACATATTTTTGTCAAGAGAGTAATTGAAGGTCAGCTGAAGTTTGTAAGAGACTATTGCTTATTCGTATCTAAGTCTAAGGTGTAAAAATAAGTGGTTTGGCTTACGAATTCTCTCTCCTAAATGGTAGTAGCTATTGTATTTGTTGAATTTGTAACATGCAAGCATTATCAAGTACCTGGAATCACTAATAATTCGTATTTTCTTCCCTAGCTCTTGTGTGCTTGCCAACATACATGCGGGCGGTTGTAGACAGACACTATCTCCAGTCACAGGGCTACTCGGTGTCGAACATCAACTTGTTTGACTCTTATTGTAGACCAACAATTACATTGACTGAGGTTATATTCGACGTTCCATACAATGGCTGTGGTACACGTAGACAGGTTGGTGTCAAATTATTTTGGAGAACTCTCCAAGACTGGGTGTGGAAACTTAATAGGCATTTGCAATTTGCAAAGGGTGTTGTACCCCACAGGTATTCAAAACACAGAAAAGCAGCATGTGTTTCTGGAGGCTAAGGTTTGTTAAACATTCTTACTTACCCTTCCTGGGCTTTAGGTAATCCCTATAGCTATATCAGAGTGATCTTCTAGAGAACAAAGTATAGGAGACAGTTAAGTGAACAATCCCATCCAGGATGCTTGAGATTTTTGAGTATTACTTGTTCTTTCTGACTAATACTAGGACCCGGCACATACAAAAGTTTATAGTACACAGTACCTGTGATAATTTTGTACTCATCTAATGTGTCAAACAGGGCAACAATGAAACGATCACCTACTCCAATGTGATAAAAGTACCTGCTTCTGGTTACACCATCAAGAGGCAAAAGGACCTGCACTTGCACATCAACTGCAAAATGCTCCAGAACACCTGGGTGCAAGTAATGTACATTGCCGATGACATCATTAATGTCAGTGAAACCCAGTACGGCAGATACGATGTGAACTTGACATTCTACAATTCCTCATCTTTCCTGTGGCCGGTGCATGACTTTCCATATTACGTTGACCTGAATCAGAATTTGTTCCTTCAAGCATCTCTTCACAGCTCTGACCCAAATCTGGTGGTGTTTGTGGACACATGTGTGGCATCACCTGATCCTAGCAATTTTAGAACATTGACCTATGAATTGATCAGAAGTGGGTAAGAACTTTCTAAAGAATTACTTAAAAATTATCTGTATGCATAGTTCTGAAAGAGCTTGATTTATGAAAGAGGTGATTTAGGGCCAGTGTACATTGGTTGCAATTCTCAGTACAAATACACTTGTAAGAAATACTTTTTGGCAAAACCTGAATAAAATATAATATGACAAAGAAATGCCATTCAGAAGTTGCAGTCAAGCACTGAGATTTCACTCAAGGAGGCAGTGTAGAAACTGAGATCTGAATTTTTTTCTAAAATAGATGCACAAAGTGTAGGGATGTCAAAGGTTCTACGTTTCCGTACATCAGAACTAGAGTTTTGCAGCATCATAACTAGAATACAAAACAGTCTGTTCAAAAAGAAGATAAATTCCTTAGCCTTTTCTTGCTGTTTTAAAAACCTAAAACATTTTGCTTAATTTGATACGAAATGTGCCTTTTGATTTGAAATGGAAAAGTTGTGGACTCTTGTAAGGAATGCAAAACCAACAGGGAGCTAGAAGCATAAAATGTGGTTCCCAGTGTCCCATTTTGTTCTGGGAATGAAAGGATCATGCTAGTTTATTTCCCTTCCGTGCTTGGTGGGATTTGAATTTCTCTGCCTCCTGGGAGGGCGTTCACATCAGTAACCTTAGCGGTGTAGTAACCTAAGCGGTGTAGTAACCTACTGCTAAGCTGGAAGTTGGTTTTCTGACAGGCTGGTGAAGTGGACACAGTGCCTCCTTCCTGCTGGGTGAATGTCCTCCCTTTTGCACTTTATGTAAATATTAGGAAGGTTTTCTTCTTGTTGGGGTTTCTTTTTATTTTAGCCATAAAAACACATATACATTAGGCAGGACATGGAAGGACTCGCTAGTTTTGTGAGCAGGACACTCACCAGGGAGATGGGGCAAATAGATTCTGATCATCTTCCGGTTCATTTTTATTCATGTCACAAGGAACTATGTCAAAAGGAAATGTATTTACTGAATATAAAATCAATCATATCCATCTGTAAATATCAGGTATGTTGGGATGTCACTGCAGTGTAAAGCAAACTGAGAATAAGAGGACTTAAAATCCTAGGGAAATGAATTATAATAATGGATTTTTTTTTGAGATACAAAGGTAATTAATGACAATTTTGAAATAGTCTGGTGTAACAGCTGTGGGTGAATTATTGTGGTCTTTTTGCATGGTGGTTAAATTAAACCAGAATGACTAGGATCTAAGTTAGGTAACTTTTAAGGCTAGAAATTTTCAAGAAGGGAAACTTATTGACAGGAAAGATAATCTAGCAATTTGGTCTGTGCAACATCTGGAGATCTCTGTCAGATTTCGAGATTCCTCAAGCAAGGTACCCTACCAACATCAAAGGACTAAAGAGCACATTTATTTCCCCCCAAAATTGTGTATTAGAAGTAGTTTTGTCCTTTCAGAATAGAAAGGTGCCCTTTCTCTTTCTGCAACAACCTGCAGAAGCCTCTTTGCAAACAGGTAATCGTGTTTACAAATGCAAAACTGGTCCTTGACTGTACCTGAAACATGGAAACCAGCAGAAGCACTAACTATTTTTCAGCTATTCATGTTTGCATGAACTTTGTTGAGCTATGAAATTCCTGTGTTGTACATGTTATTGTGGTAGAAATCACTGCCACCATTACTTATTTTTGTCTCTTATTTTCTCTCCTTGCTAAAACAGACTTTTTTTTTATCCTCTTGAGTTCTCTAATACTTTAACCTCGTGGTTTTATATTTGAACTTGAAACATATTGCACGAAGAGAGTGTAATAGTATTTCTATTCACAATAGCTAATCTATTAACTTTATATCTTTCCAGGTGTGTGAAGGATCCTACCTACTCTTCCTACTATTCACCATACGGTGATGTTGCTCGGTTTGCATTTAATGCTTTTTCATTTGTTAATCGGCACCCGTCGGTTTACCTGCAGTGTGAGCTGGTGGTGTGCAGGTACAACGACTACTCTTCTCGCTGCTATCAAGGCTGTGTTAGTAGGTTCAAGAGGAATGCAGGTTCTTCCCAGGGAAAAGTGAATGTTGTTATTGGACCTGTCCAGCTTCGGGAAGCTCATGCTGAGAACAGGCACACTGGTAAGTTTAAATAATTTAAATAACATAAGACTCTGCATATTACTGTATGTTTGCATGTCAGTTCAGACATGAAATCCAGCTCTGAAATACGCCTTTGTTGCTTTATTCATAACTGTGCTATAATTCTTATAGGGATTTAAAAAAAATATTTTTATAAAATTGTTTACAAGCGATTTCTTTTCTACCATAGTTTAGATCCATTATTTGTTCTGCACATGCCAAATGGCAATTGAGTCAGATCTGTGGGAAGAGGGATGAGATGTAACTTGTCTCCCTGCAGGATTTATATTAATTTTCCAAAGCTGTCTGTGCCTGATAGTCCTGTCTCTTATTTATTAGCAACCAACCTGTAGGTGCCCTTGAAAATGTTGTTTCACAGTGTCCTATAGCTGCTGTTTCCACTATCAGCAAACAGCATCGTATGGTCTTAGACTGTAATCATTGCAAATTCTTAGTTGTTCTTTAATTTCTTGCCATAATCTTTACTTGTTTGGCACGGCCACAGGATCTTTTGTGAAGCAAAGCGCCACAAAGAAATTTGGTTCCTGATCAGATCCAGATTGGAACATTTTAATTCAAGTTCTTTTTGCCTAATTACCTTTGAGATTAACTAGCTCAGGAAAACAAATGTAAGCCTCTCTCTTTCTCTTTTATGCACAGAGCTGGCCTCTGATACCCAAGTGAACGGGGACTCTCAGAGCCCAGTGCCTGCTGCCAGCTCCCATGTTGCTCTGGCTGTGACTGCCGTGGCGCTGGTAGCTGCTGTTCTCACTGTGGGAGGATTTCTTTTGAAGCGCAAACTGCAGGAACCCATCCAGTACCAGATAATGTGAGAGGCAACCCAAGGCTTGCAGGTGGACGGTGCTGGTATTTTCACCAGTCATCTGCTTCATGATTTGGTTTTGCAATCTGCGTAGAGGGTAACTCTTACTTGACTATTCCACCATCCAGATCTTGTTTGAAGAACCTACTGTACTAAGGTAAAACCCAGTGTCACCATGAACTGAACTTATGAAGGAGCCTGGCTTTAAACTCCTCAAGTCCACATACACCTAAGGTCTAAAGAAAGGTTGATTCTTCCATCCCAGCATCCAAATAAGCTACCATCTTCCATGCTGGACATTTCAGAGCATCTCTAATGTTGAGACACATCACAGTGCTTGAGTGTCTGAGAAGACTGATTTAGGTGACTGAGAAGACTGATTTAGGTGACTTGAGAAAGAACAACTGACTTATTTTGCCATTGCTGATACACAGACAAAACACATGCATAGCACCATGAGATACTCTGGAAACTTGTCCATGAAAAATGTTTCTTTGTGGTAAAAATATCTCAATAATGAGCCACAAGTGAAAATGCACAGGGGCTGCACTTACAGAATTGCTCCTGTACAGCGCTCCTTCTTTTGGGGTTCTTCACAGTTACATGTTTCTCTGAGAAAATGTAGGCCATTTATAAGATTTTGTATAGAGGATGAATATAATAAAATCTGTTATGTAAATGTGTAATTAAAAAAAGCAGGAAAGAAAACGTTTTTTGAGTGATACCTCTTTTTGTGTACTTGCAAACCTACCATCTATGTGTCTGAACTCCCAATTAATGCGTTATCAAGTTGGAGAACATGGCTTCTGACAAAGTGACTTTGCCAAGCAATGATTTCTGCTCTTGCTCTTACACATTTCTGCACTCGTAATGGGGCAGGGGGAGAGAATGTACGTAAATTGCCATAAGGAAGTGTGACCCGTCTCCTATCCCCATGTGAAAATGAAATAAAAACAATAATAAAGGAAGAATGTCTTTGGAAGAAGCTATTTACTACAGCTGGAAAGGTCACTGGTATTTGATTGAGAAGTGCTTTTCTTTAGACACTCCTGTTTTCTAGCCAGCTATGAAAGAGGAAACTTCGTTGGGAACAGTATAATGAACTATGTGTGAGGTGAGCCAGAGACAAAGTAGTGACGTGTAAGGAAGGTGAGCTGTACTCCAGGGTGACATCCTGACCTGATGAGGAGGATGCGGGCAGCTCTGACGGGAATCATTACAGCCTGTACCGTTTCTTCCTGCAAGCTGCCTTTTCCTGGTGACCCCAGGCAGGCCTCTCGTCATCGGTATGAGAACTAGCGTGGCCAGCAGGAGCAGGGCAGGGATCGTGCCCCTGTACTCGGCACTGGTGAGGCCGCACCTTGAATCCTGTGTTCAGTTTTGGGCCCCTCACTACAAGAAGGACGTTGAGGTGCTGGAGCGTGTCCAGAGAAGGGCAATGAAGCTGGTGAGGGGTCTGGAGCACAAGTCTTACAAGGAGCGGCTGAGGGAACTGGGGTTGTTCAGTCTGGAGAAGAGGAGGCTGAGGGGAGCCCTCATCGCTCTCTACAACTACCTGAAAGGGGGTTGTGGTGAGGTGGCTGTTGGTCTCTTCTCCCAAGTAACCAGCGATAGGACGAGAGGAAATGGCCTCAAGTTGTGCCAGGGAAGGTTTAGATTGGATATTAGGAAAAATGTCTTCACTGAGAGAGTGGTCAAACATTGGACCAGGCTGCCCAGGGAGGTGGTGGAAGTGGTCAAAAAAACGTGTGGATGTGGCACTTCAGGACATGGTTTAGTGGGCGTGGTGGTGTTGGGTTAACGGTTGGACTTGATGATCTTAAAGGTTTTTTCCAACCTTAATGATTGGGTGATCTCTCCATGCTGTGGAGAAGGGACCGTGCAAGCAGGGATTGGTATTGCCCACAGAGTGTGGAAGTGAATTTTGTTGTCCACACATGAGGAACAAGGACTGAGGATGGTCCTCCACTCCTCCCTGCCTACAGCCAGCTTTGAAAGGCAGAGCAATCCAGGAGACTGACCTGCCTTTCATCTAGTCCTGTTCTGTGGATCAGAGATTGTCCAGACTTGGAGGAATTCAGCAATCTGCTAAGCAGAGTGAAGACATTCCTGGACCTGGGCTTTCCTAAGTCTCTAGAAGAGGACCTTCCTCTCTGCTTTTCCCAGACCCACTGTTTTCTCTTCTGCCCCCACTCCTGCTGTGGCCTTGCTGCTGTGGTTGTGCGACCCCCACCATTTTTCAGGGCATAGCTTGATGGCACTTTTTCTACTTCTTCTAGTCCTAGAATATTATTGTGATCAGGCAAGCAGAAAGATCATAGACCTAGGATGTTGGTGCCTCCAACCTGCAATGTGCCTGTACTGTTCAGAGCTGAGTCTTCCCATACTATTCTGTGCCAGGGGCCCCAGGTGGTGATATACCAAAGTTGTATCAGAATGCAAGGTAGAATTACCAAGTTCAGTGGTTTCCATATTGAATGTTGCTGTAGAAAACACCACTAAACTGTTCAAGTAACTGGTGTCTCACACTCATCCTCCTTACTTCCTACCACCTTCCTTGATCCACAAGTATTATAGAAATGCAGGATTCAAGAAAGCTGGGTTTGGTGATGAGGAAAGGGTCATGCTCTAAAGTACATGTGTCTGCTGAATGGTGTCTCTGCCAAGAACCTTTCTTCCCACCTCCTGCCCCACCACATTCAGGAAAGCTTCTACTGGTAAATCCAGTGGATTTGACTCTCAGTGGCAGTCAGTTCTGAACCACTTGCATCCTCACCATTAAACAAATCCAGATTGATTTGCAATGACATGCTTCACATGACACATGCAACAGAGCCCAAGAGGCCATCAGGCAATCTGACAAATTAGACTAAGCTGCCTCATTGCATCTTAACACATGGATTCAAACTATGGCTTCTTTGTGCAGAAGCCTGTGGATACCCTCATTCCAGTCTAGACACTTTCTTACAGTAAGGAGCGAAAAGCTAATTAATCTTCTATGTCCTTTCAATGGTTTTCATTTGGACCTCACAACAGCCGATATTTCTGCAGAAGTCTCCTGACAATAGTCAGTAGAAGAGAAGGTGTTTTCAAAGCTCGGTGGAACTTCTTCCACAGAGTAATGTGCTGAGGAAATCTTCAAGCTGCCAGAAGAAATCCTAGAGAGTAAAAACGTATGGCTGCAAGAGACTTACCTAGCCAATGGCAAGGATGAAAACGTGCTGTATAGTATTTACATTAATTAATGAATTCAAATTGATCATAAGGTAACATTTATCTATTCCTACTCTGCAGACATTGTCTGATAATCAAGATCTCTAGAAATAGCTAGATCTTTGAAGTTTGTAGTAAAGAATTAATTAGTGGAGAACATAATGAAGAATAAATTAATCATCGGTGGTGTTCATTTACTAGGACAGTCTGGCTTTTTTTTTCACTTGAAACATCTGGGAATCACTTTCATGTTCCTCTAAGTCCCCACCCTTTTCAGTTATTACAAGAGTTTGGAGAACAATTGCTATCCATCATTTACTCTTGCTTCACTGATTGCAGTGTTTGATTGGTCAGTCAAATATACCAGATTTTTTCGGCTTCTTGTCAAGATGTCAAAACCAGAAGAATATGAATATTGAATGCCAGGTGTCGTGTACATTTCCTCATTCATGTGCGAATGTGGTTGTTTGTATAAAGAAGAAACATATTTACCCTTTTCAATGTTCACTTTCAAGGCTTCCAGCGTTATCTTTGGCCTCTTGTGTTTTGTACTTCCTTCTTCCATTCCAATACTGCTGGCCTTTGCGGGCCTTCTACGTCATTTTTCCCTTGGGCTCCTGGACTTTAGTCTTCATCCCTGATGACTGCCCCTGGAGGCAATGAATTTGTATATGGCAACAACTGTGCCACAAATTTTAACTCCTCATAATGCCATCCAAGCTATGATGGCTGTAGAGGTAGGAATCAGATGAAAAACAATATTCTGCCTCTTCAGTGTTAGGATTGTCCTCAGACTTCTCTTGTTAAATGGTTAAAACACAGAAACACAGAAAAGTAACCACTCTGGCAAGAAAGTGATGAATGAGAATTAAGCATTATTTCATGTTGTGGAAAAGCTTTGGATTCATTCTTCAAAGAATAAAACAGCTGTAATTGTCACTATGCAAAATTAGAAAAGGAATATATTAAGAAAGACTCTTAATAGAAATCTGAACCTTTTTTTTCCCCATTTGATAGTTCAAAGGATCAAAGGAAATTGTAACTTTAAGTTGCAACCTATGTAATTTACTTTATGCATAAAATCCACTGATTTTTCTGCACAGTTTTCACAAAAAGTTATCAGCTGACCCTGATTCTCTTAACACTTTCTTGCAATCTAACAGTCTCTCAGTGAATAGAGTTTTGATTTGAACTTAAAAGTGCAGAAAAGGAATGGGTTCATATCAGGGCTGGAGGTGTTGACTTCAACAGCAAGGTTCTTCAGGTATCTCATAGTGATTTGCTTACAAGGCTTGGCTCAGTCTCTCTCCTTAATTATCTGGAGCAAATTACCCACATGTTGAGGCAAAGTTATCACCTATATGCTGTGGTATGTGCTCCCCTCCACTTACAGCTGTGGCTCTCAAGCAAGCAATATTTCACACCCCTCTCATGTGAGCTCCTCTTGCTGCTACTCCAACTGTCTTTCCCCAGGTCCTGCGTCAGCCCGGACCACAGATTGCCTCCTCTCCTTTCCTGACATCTCCACCACGTTGCCTCTCCAGTGGCTCCTACATGCACCAAAACGCTGCAGCCACCTCCTGCCTTACCCTTCTTGTTGTTGGCTCTGCAGCTGATGGCAGAGGAATTGATGGTGTGGTGGAGCTAGTCATTTTGATAGGATGCAACTGTCTCCGTAGTGTCTCTCGGTTATCTTCATGTTGCATTCAGCAACAGTCACAGGTCTGGTGGGTTATGTTCAGAGACCTCTGCAGTCATACTTGAACAGGGCCACCAGGTCTTATTTTATTTGA